TCCAAGAAAGAATAAAAAGAAACCGATAAACACAAACAACAGACCGAAACCTAAAGGAAAGTAGGAAAAAAACAATAAAGAGAAAAAGTATAAACCACCTCACCGTTACCCCCCCTTACACACTTAGAATCCAATCCCAAACATCACATTGCTTCTTCGTTGTAGCCAAAGGGGTTCGTCCGTTGCAGAGGATCCCCGCTGAAGCCAAAAGAACGGAGAGCAGGTCAAGTGCGTGTGTCCTCGAGGCTGGCGAACTTGTATCTGCATGGCCACCTGGTGTCGATATCGTGAATTGGAATTATCTCTTCGGACACCTTTTCGAGAGCCAAGTCTTCCCGTACCTGTGGAAAAGGGGAGGAATTGTGTTTATTTATGTATTAATGTATATTTTAAAAGTTGATTTGCTTTCGTTTTGGGATTGTAATGTGGGAATAGGTTTCTATGGGGTGGTTGTTGGCGGTGTAGGGGTTCGATCATGTAGTCCGTTCTTCCTTTGTTTTCAGTGCTGACTATACGTAAGGTTAATTAATCTTTCCATCTCTAGCTTATTACATATAATTTTTCATTGTAAACATATATATTTTTTCATATGCATTTACTCTTACTCAGTTTTTAATTTAATTTCATTATATTTCATTTTGACTCCTATGTTAGCGCACTCAAACAAAAAGGCTTGTGAGCGCGTTGAAAATTCTGCGTGAAAAATCCAAGCACATTAACGCATTATCTTTTTAAAACAGTTTTATGAAAGCTAACTTTTACACTCACAAATGTGCACATGAATACGACTGGTGCTTTTGATGTAAGAGAATTGGTGTGTAAATGACAAAAGGATTATGCTAAAAAGATAACATAATGCAAGGCTTTTGCATTTCAAACCTAATTAGCAAATGTGGTGCGCTTATTTTATTTTGCAACAATCCATGACTCATAAAGGATTCGGTATATTTAAAACTTTCTGACACAAAGAAAAAGACAATGAAATATAAATAAAAATCAAACTCAACAGAATAAACCACATAAGAAGCAAACAAGCAATAGAAAACGGAGATCAACTTCTCAAGGCCGCTTGGTTACCACCTTTACCGCAAATGATACGATTGCGACTCTAGAACCAAGACTTTGGCATTGATAGCAGTTAGTCATCAACGAATACTTGTATATCACGATGTAAGAATTTATACAAAATTGTAATACTAGTTATAAATTTGTAAAATCTAACTGGCGTGCAGACGTTGTTGTGGTAAATGAAACAAGTTACAGACATCTTAATCCTAAGTCAAGGCTCCAGCATCCCATTCGAACGATTTGCGGTAATGGCGGTAAACATGACCTCGCCAGCCATTACCTGTTCAACCCTACTGAAGACGCGGAGGAGGTTGAGTCCCGCGAGCTTCTTGAGGTCTTGTAGGGACCACGAAGGATCCTGCAGGAGTTCGGCGAAGAGTTCGGGGTATTTGGACACGTCTTCCAGACCTCTTGGCGTGCTGGAAGGTCGGGAGGAGGTCAGGACACAGGGGGCGAGCGACGATTTCTGGCTCTGTTTCGTTGTTTGTTTGTGTGTGTGTGTGTGTGTGTGTGTGCCTCTCTGTCTCTGTCTGTCTGTCTATCTGTCATTGATAGTAATAATAATAATGATAATGACAATGACGATACTAATGATTATGATGCGGACAATAATAATAATGATAATGATGATAATAATGATACGGATGATTATGGTGGATATGGTGGTGATGATGTTGATGGTATATGTAATGGTAATGGTAATGATAATTATAACCATAACAATGATAATGATAAAAATGATAATGATGGATAATGAAATAATGATGATAATTATAAAAATAATAATCATAAAATTTAATGAGTATATGCTAACAATAATAATAATAACATGACAATAACAATAACAATAATACAACTAGTACTACTACTACTACTAATGAAATAATAACAATCGTAATGATAATAATAATAATAATTATAAAACAATGAAAATATAATAATAGTAATGATGATAATGACAATAATAGCAATGATAATAACAAAAAAGATATTACTACTACTACCACTGCCATTATTACCACAACAAATACCACTACTACTAATTAGTATTGCTATCATTACAACGACATCAAAGCAAAATCTGGCACCTGTTGAAGCCGTCGTATCCAGCGCCGATTCCCACATAATCCACTCCCGCCATGGTGCGTATGTGGTTGATGTGATCTGCGGAAAGACACGTTTCAGACATGTTAAGCGGCTGTCCTAATAAGTCCATATCCGATCTGATTTGTTTACTGAGGCTTATTAAGGGCTTTCTCCATGCATATGGTGTAACTCTTGGTGTAGTGTATAAAAGGAAAAGAAGAACGAAGAGAATGACGAAGAATGAAAGACAGTGGTGAGTTTCACTCGGAGGACAGATTCTTCCCAGGGAAAATGGAAATTTACTGAAGGACTGTTTATATTGTTGCTGAAAAAAAAAAAAAAAACATGTACCATTTTCTTCATTCTTTTTGTTTTTCTGTGTTTCTGCTCATAAGTGTCTGTCTAATCCTCATTAAGAAATTTAAATTCTAAACGCCGAAAGTGACCGAAAGCAGTCTGTCATATTCGGTTGTATTTTGATGTTGATTTGCTGCTCGAATCCAGTGAATGAATAAATCACTAAATTAATAAAATACCGCGGCACTTTGGGGGTTGGATGGAGCTCAGTCTCGAGGAAATATGCTGTGGTGGATTTGATTGCATGAGTTCCTTCCTTCTCTCTCTCTCTCCGACGAGGATCCCCCTGCCACGCTCCCCTTGAAGTCCTAATCTCTTTCGCTCTCTCTCTCTGCTCCTGTCTCCTCCTCCTTCCTTCCTTCTCTCCTAAGTTATGAGGGAGAGATGAGAGTTGGCGAGATGAGAGAGAAAGCTTGAAGCTTGGAAATATAATATACAACAGATAGCAACACAATGTGTGAAAGACGTGCATGACCTGGGGATGATTGGAGTGAAGTATCGAGAGATATATATGCTATATATATATATATTATATATATAATATATAAATATAATATATATATATATATATATATATTAATATAATATATATATAATATATATATAAATATAATATATATATGTGGCGTGTGATGTCTATATATATATATATATATATATATATATATATATATTATATATATATATATATATATAGATTGTAGAAGAGATGAGTTTATATGATCTGGTGTCGCGCTGTTGTGAAGCCTTCACTGGGGCAATACTGATGTTCGGATGCAGGCGTGTATGTGTGTGTTTTGCCTGCCTTCTGGTGTATTGCGTGGGTGATTTTGCGCCAGATGGGTGTGAGGATTTTAATTTTCTGTTTGATTTCCATCTATTTAATTGCTCCAATTGTTTCTGGTTAGACACTGTCTTATATTCTCGTTCCTAAAATTCGTACCCTTCTTCCTTTGATTTTTATTTGCATTTTTCATTTTCCTAATTTTCTCCTCCTTTTTACCCATTATTTTCTCTTTCTTCTCAGTGCTCACCGCCACCAACTCTTTCTCTCTTCTTTCTCATTTTCTACAATTTCTCTTCCTTACTTTTTTTATCTTTTCTTATTTTCCCTCTCCATTCCTTCCCCCGTCCCTCCCCTCTTCTCACCTCCCGCCCCCTCCCCATCCACCGGACCCCCCCATGTCCCCCTTCCCTTTGGCCCCTCCCCGTCCCACCCCTCCCCTCCCGTACCCTTCTCCTGCCCCTCCCCGTCCCTTCCCCCATGCCATCCCCACCTACCGGACTACCCCCCCCCCGTCCTCCAAGCCCTCCCCCTGCCCGTGAGAATCGATTAAAACTTCGTGTGACTCAAGCGTGAGATTAATGGCGCCAAGAAACACAACACGCGACAGACAACACGAAATCTCATCCTTAATTCCTCTTCTTTAATTAACCAGAAAAGAAAGAAAAAAGAAGAAGAGAGAGAGAGAAAGAAAATTGTGGAGATGATTGGAATTAAAATCCTTATCGAGTCCCCGGTGGATAATCAGGGATCATTAAGAATACATTAACACTTGCCCGGATTGTGTTTCCGTGTCGCTGGCTCTGTGTTTTGGGCGGAGAGGGGGGAGAGGGGGAGGGAGGGGGTATATTTGAATCATTCCCTCTCATTTCTCTCTCTGAAGGGTCTGTCTTTGTATATATATAATATATATTATATATATATATGTATATATATATGTATATATATATATATATTATATATATATATATATATATATTAATATATTATATATACTGGTAATACCAACGTTAAGAGAGTACGGCAACTTCGTGTCTGTTACATGGACAAGATTGAGCTTGAAATATTTCCTTTTAGTTGACGATAGATGGGGATGAATAATGATTGTGTTTGGACCGGTTTTTTGTTTAAAAATGACGAAAATAAGTAAAAACTATTTGGATTGTTTCTTTGGTTTGTAGTAAACAATGATATATTAATATGTTTGTATTGGTTCCTATTTTTATAAGAAAAATAGCCAGGGGTCTATTGACATCCCACATGATTGGTATAATTAGATAAATCTTTATTTTTTCTTCTAAATATACTTAAATGGTGTTTTATCTGTGATAATGATTTTAAAAATCTCTTTGTGTCTACCTCTATTTACCTGGTATGTGATTGGCCAAGGGAGCTTAAGAGATTATGTATGGTGCACGCAGATAAGTGGAATTGCTTTAATTGGGCCCTCTGTTGGATACCATTTGAATGAGTTGATTTACGGTTGTAACTGTTGTCGGGAGTTACCATTTCATCGTGAATCCTACTTTACCATCACTGGTAAACACAACGGCAAAGTACTGCTGGTAAAAGCGTTACGATCATATGTTCATGAATCCATTTCCAGGACTCGAACGTCTGCCGCTCCAGGTATGACCCAGAATGACCAGTACTAAACCAACCTTACCACACGGCCATGTAGTGAGGTTAGTTTAGGATTCACTAA